CGAAGGTGGTGGCCGCAGCTTGAGGCAGTGAGATGCCCCTCAGTGTGTCCTTCTCTTTTTCTTTCTTTCTCTTCTGGCAGGAGCTAATATAGAGGGAGGTAACAGAGTGAACTGCCCCTGTGGCTATGACACAGTTACACCTCTCTCTCAACCTCTCCTTCGCTCTCTCCCTTTTGTTCCTTCTCGTTCTTTCTCTCTCTCCCGCTTGTTCTTTCTCTCTCTCCCCCTCTCGTTCCTCCTCTCTCTCCCTCTCGTTCCTCCTCTCTCTGTGACAAGGCCATCGCCGTGTCTCGCTTGCGTGCTAGAAGGGCTGGGCAGGCCAAGGCTGCCTCCAAACACCAGGCCAGTTGAGTCATGTCGTGATGTGATGAGACTACGTGATAACTGGGTTAAAAATGAAACTTGTCCTTCTGTTCAGCTAAAAGCGCCATTATCTGGTTACCTACTGATTCATAGTGTTTGGAGGCCATTTGGAGCCCTCCCACACTATCAGTTTTATAAGGTAATGGAAGATGTGGGAGTTTTAAGTTGAGAGCCAGAGACAGTTGTTGGCCATTCTGTGGAAGCACCTAGAGAAACCAGACTTTGCGTTTCCTCTGAATTTACCTCAGAACTGAAGCTGGCAGAGATGAGTTCGTCTGAGGTGGTCAGTCAGTCTCGCATCCCTTTTCAAACAAAATGAAGCAACAGGAATACCCCCATTCCAAGCACTCGAACGCACACGACACACACCCGCATACGTATACACCCAGTCATACACACATTGACACATCGTCAAACAAAAACACACACACTTATGTCTTGCATAAGAGATACACACGTATGAATGCCCCTCTGATTCAGTGAGTGAAAAGGGAGAGTCAGGCTATGAGGTTCTATAATTACAGGAGCGTTCAGGAGGCAAACTGCTGAGTTGTTGAATGTTTAATGTGAAGCCTGGAGGCGTCACAGTGGCAGAGAGTAGGCCCAGGTCCCAGCCCCACAGCCATTGCCCCCTGAGCTCCAATCCACCAACACAGACCAGTGTCTACCAACCAACCAGTGGGTATGAAAGACAGGGAGGGGCCGGGTAGTTCGAGGGAGAAAGAGAATGAGGGAGAAGGAGTTGAGACATGTCAATGAGGACAGTGCATGTGAGTGGAGAGGAGATAGATACAGTATGTCACATAGGCCTAGTATGGTTGACTGTTAGGGTGACTTCCAGTGGACTGTAACCTGAAGCTTGTGGTTAAAGTTACGGCCTTAACAAACTATGATTATGAGAATAGTTCTACTATATGGGACCAGAGACTACTAATGACGTCAGTATTTCTAATACATAGAGGTAATATAGTTGTGGGGTAGTGAGTATTGACTTTCCTATTAGTTGTTGAGGACAGACGGTAACTAGAGCAAGCAACTGGATACCATGCTTTCATGGTTGCATGTCGTCACTTCTTTCCTCTCTCAATGGAATTATATTAATATCCTGGCCTCAATCATTCTTTCGGGACAAACAGGGGAGCGGTGGGACAAGGAACGAATGAGTGAAAGAGAGAGGGGGTGAGAGAGGAGGAAATTGAGAATGAGAGGGCATTCGACATGACAGGCATTTTGGAATAGAGATGTCAAAGAATGCTCTGAGGAGCTAAACAGTAGCTCACCACTTCATATAGGCTACTGTACCAACATGCATGTACATAAACACAGACGTACACACAGTAGTTATGTACTGTGGTACTCTATCATCAGCCTTGACTCACTGTTAGATTACTGTGCAATTGTTTTATACTAAAAAATGAGGAACAGTCAGAACATGCCCAATAATATGGGACCTATACACTATATATACACAAAAGGTATGTGGACCCTCCTTCAAATTAGTGGATTCGGCTATTTCAACCATACCCATTGCTGACTGGTGTATAAAATCGAGCACGCTGCCATGCAATCTCCATAGACAAACATTGGCAGTAGAATGACCTTACTGAAGAGCTCAGTGACTTTCAACGTTGCACTGTCATAGGATGCCACCTTTCCAACAAGTCAGTTCATCACATTTCTGCCATGCTATAGTTGTCCCGGTTAACTGTAAGTGCTGTGTTGTTAAGTGGAAACGTCTAGGAGCAACAACGGCTCAGCCGTAAAATGGTAGGCCACTTCAGTTGAAACACTTCATGAAATGGGTTTCCATGGCCGAGCAGCCGCACACAAGCCTAAGATCACCATGTGCAATGCCAAGCGTCGGCTGGAGTGGTGTAAAGCCATTGGACATTGGAGCAGTGGAAACGCGTTCTCTGGAGTGATGAATCACGCTTCTGCATCTGGCAGTCCGACGGACGAATCCCTTAGTTCCAGTGAAGGGAAATCTGAATGCTACAGCATACAACGACATTCTAGACGATTCTGTGCTTCCAACTTTGTGCCAACAGTCTGGGGGAAGGCCTTTTCCTGTTTCACCATGATAATGCCCCCGTGCACAAAGCGAGATCCATACAGAAATGGTTTGTCGAGATCGGTGTGGAAGAACTTGACTGGCCTGCACAGAGCCCTGACCTCAACCGCAAATCCCTGCAGCAATGTTCCAACATCTAGTGGAAAGCCTTCCCAGAAGAGTGGAGGCTGTTATAGCAGTAAAGGGGGGACCAACTCCATATTAATGCCCATGATTTTGGAATTAGATGTTAGATGAGCAGGTGTCCACATACTTTTGGTCATGTAGTGTACCTTTGGCTGTTCATATAAACTGACCAGGTAACAAACTGTAACACTTCCGTTAGCGATAGGTTACTAACCTTAATGTAGCCTAACAAGACGCATGATGAAAATGCTTAACATGTTGCAATTTGTGTCAAGGCCCAATACGGCTGACTTTTCTTACCTCGGGGTGGTATGAGACCGTTTTCTAGTACCCGTTGTGAGTGTTCACCCGTGAGCGGTGATGGCAGTGATCGCTTGCTTTGGGCGTGTTGAAATCATCTTCATGTCTAGGCTATTTCATCTCAGCCTCCTATACGGGACCTGACACACCATTCCTAAAATATCAATGGCCTATATCTTGGCGTATAGTTTGAATATAAAATACAGCTGGGACCCCGTCCCCTCTTTGGAGCGCAACAGAATAATATAATCTTCGCAGCTTGCTTCTTCGCTTTCTGATGGAGGAAAAACCCAGTCCGTTACGCTACCAACAGAGAACACGGAACCCCACCCGTCCGTAATGACGTCACCTTTGGAAGCTCAAAACGCATTTACCGGGTGTGGAAATAACCTGGTAAACAAAGCGAAACTGATGTCAATATTTTGTTTCTGTGGAATGAAATCACATGGAACTTGCTCAACATTATTATTTTGTTTAGAGTTCCCATAAATCATTTGAAGTCAAATCCTAAAGATCCTGCCCACCACAATCGATCAGATATGGGAAATGCAGCCTACTAAATTTCATCCAACTTTACAGATATGATTGAGTGCTGGAGCAATGTACTTGGATCCATGTCCTCAAATTACATCTTTCAGTGTCTATAATACTTTATCAGAAATGTTCCTGACCAGGTAACCTGATGAGGAAAAACTTCTAGCCCTATTACACATTTGAAAAGTATGAACATTAGCCACTAAGGCTAATGCAAACAAATCTATTATGTTCTATAAAGCCATCTGCCCAATATGCAAAGTAAACCATGACTCAATGGTTTAATGGCAGTTGAGTGTTATATTAGTAGCAAGCAATATTATATTAGTAGTAATCAGCACAAAGGGAGGCTACAAAATGATGTCATGATTGTAGAACAGCTTCTGTTTTCTTTATTAGAAGGGTAATATAATCAAAGTCAATTCCGAGATGGCTCCACTTATTCCTTGTAGAATGCACTGCATTAAACTGAACCAGATTTCCAAATGAAGTGCTACAGTACAACATTTCCTCCTTCCCCTCCCTCCCTTGTTTCCATTGCAAGGATTGGAGAAGCAGGGATTCAAACAGCTGAAAAAAGAAAGAAGAGTCTCAGGTGAATTTAAACATAGGAGAAATGTGCACAAAAATGTTTTGGGTCATTCAAAGCTGCAAGAGGCAAAACATTTAGCTACAGACACAAGTTGCTCCCTTAGACATATACGGGTCCTTGTGCGTGTTCAACTTAACAATCCTGTCCATCTATAGTGCAATTAGGCTTCCAACATCCATTTCTAAAACTTTACGCGTTATGCATTAACATTAAACAATCAAAAGTGTCAGCCGTTAGGCTTTACATAAAAGTTTAAATGAACAGTGAACTACAATGTGACTTAGCAGTACATTAACAATCATTTACCAGTAGAAAACTGGACTACAGGAACTAAAGCAACATTCAATGCAGTGGTGTCATTGTTTTGATACTTTTAACATTATTTAGTCAAGCTAGAAAAATTCCCACAGCAAGCCTAATGGCCAATATAGCTTCACACAATACAACTGCTATTGTTTTCTGACTACCCTGAGAACATCTTGCATTCACATTCAGAGGAGAAGAGTCAGAGTCTACAGAGGGGAGACAAAAACCTAGAAAGAAAAACGGAAAGGTCAAAAGAGTCAACATGTAGCCTATTCACAGAGTGGGATAGAAATAGTACCAACAGGAACAGAAAATAGTGTCGTTGGTTAACAGGAACTAAATCTACATTGGTATGACAGGTATTTTTGGTTTGTGGCTATGCTCTAGAAAAGTGGCATGCTTTCACTTTCTTTAACCAAAAGAACATCAATGCATACATTAGGTGTCAAAGTAGAAGAGTCAATAGATTCATAATGAATTCCTGAGTAGACTGACATTGTACAACATTAGCATTAGCTATCCCTGTCATCTATCACAGGACATATTACATTCAGATTAACTAATACATTCTTAATCACATTCCCTACTGTTTGCTCAATTTAATCCAAGTACAGGGACCATCAATGAAGCTACATTATATAGACATATTATATACACGTGTATATAGCAAAGTTATCATTACTTATTGTGTATTTATTGTGTTATTATTTATCTTTTTTCTCTCTGCATTGTTGGGAAGGGCCCATAAGTAAGCATTTCACTGTTAGTTTACACCTGTTCACGAAGAATGTGACAAAGAAACATGTATTTGATTACCACTGATATGTATTCCTGACCCAAGGGGACATTACACTTATCTTATACACTCCATTATAACCAGCTATTCAAGTCTCTGTAGTTTCCAGGAGAAGTGTGTTCAAGTCCCAGTAGTGGAGAGCATTCAAGTACAAGGGAGAGACACCCCACCACAGAATGAAGAAAGTGGAGAGCAGAGACGAAGAGGGGGAGGAGAGCGGAGCACAGACTAGTCTTGAGAGTGAAGGAAAGACTAAGGAGGAGAGTTGGAAAGCTAGACGAAAGGAGCACGGACGAGAGTCCTGAGAGTGAGGAGAGGTGGAGGGAGCTTAGACGAAGAGCACCAGGTCTTTACAGGTGGCGGCTGTGGCCGAGGAGAAGGCGGCGAGGATGGAGGCGAAGACTACATCGGGGGACTGGGCGGCGTCGACTGCCTTGTGCAGGCCGCGGGCGCTGTAGTACTTGACCAGGGGTACCGTCTGCCTGTGGTAGGCCTCCAGCCGTGAGCCCAGTGTCGACGCATTGTCATCGCTGCGGCGCATCAGCGGCTCCCCTGTCACCTGATGGGGGACAGAGAACAACATTAGGGGTCATGAGTGAAAAGGGCCATTTTGTTTTCTTTCTCTTGTCAGTTCTTTTTCCCCCCTTCCTCCCTACACCTTAAAGAGTTCAAAGATCTGAAAGAATTGGATAGGTGTAGGAAATATGGTGATGGCTCCCCCTAGCACTCAAGTTGGGCAAATGCATCTTCTGCCATATTAAATTATCTCCTAATCCAGTCCTGTCGGATCTATGATGATCACAGAAGGGCTTGTGAAGGTTTTCCAAGCCAGTAGGACTGAGCTACCTCTCTGGGTACACCACAGAGATGTAGCCCCTCTTGCATGTGTTTTGAAAGCCATCTCTGTGCTGAGCATCTGAAACGGTCCCATGTGGCTCAGTTGGTTGAGCATTGCGCTTGCAACGCCAGGGTTGTGGGTTCGATTCCTACGGGGGACCAGTATGGAGAAAAATAAGTATGAAATGTATGCACTCACTACTGTAAGTCGCTCTGGATAACCGCGTCTGCTAAATGACTCAAATGAAACAAGCGCTCAAAGCCACTAGCACTGAGAAACTCCTGGCCAAGGGAGTGTGTTTCACAACACTTGTGAAAGACTGTTCGCAAATGAGCCACTGCTTTCTTCATATTACAAACAGAGACACTTGTTAAAAGTGTATGTTTGCCCACAAACACTTTGAGCACTCACACACACTTTTGAAGTGCAAGTTGACCCAGAAACACATTTGAACACCCATGGTTAGCAGATTGGGATCTACAATAGAAGTAGGATATCCAGACTCAGGAACGGGGACGTCCATCGACAAGATACTTACGTCATCCTTCATGGGATCTTTGGGTGGGTTGAACTCCTCGTGGTAGGAGCGACCGCTAGGCTGGTGAATTAGTCTGAGGGGGAGAGGAGAAGGTTAGTGGGCCATTTCAACAATACTCCTGTCCTCCGTCAAAGCCACCCACACTGCCCTTGGCCCACTTCAGAGCCTACTTCAAAGGCTTACACTATATCCCATCATGGTCACACAAAGAACCCCTTTTGACATGCTGATGTCACCATTTGAATGGACTATAGGTACATCATTACCTCTGTATGAAGCCGTGTCCTCAATACAGAGCATTGTTTGTTGTGGATGAGGGAGGTATGGCTCTGCAACATTATTTGTCCAACAAATGGTCGATAATAACTAGCTCAGACCACAGGGCACCGCAGAATATTTGGTCCTACCTGCCACAGATCCTGCGCACCAGTAGGGAGTCATCGACAGAGAACTCAATCACAGAGTCCAGCTTCTCTGTGCGCTTCTCCAGCAAGTCATCCAGCTAGGAGAGAGAGGGAGTCATGAAACATGGGAGCAGGTAGGAAACAGGTTCATATGCTCAGTGGTATAGTGGAGGGTAAATGCAGTTTACGCACCTATTTCATGTTGCGTAACAGTTTACCTATCTTTTTTTTTTACCACTACATCACTGCATATGCTTGATTAACAGCAAGACAAACTTTTGCTCTGGGGATTGACAGAAAAATGGAGTCAGGCGCCAACCAATCCTCACCATCTCTGCTTGTTTCACTGTGCGGGGGAATCCATCCAATAGGAACCCCTTCTTACAGGGAGGCGTGTCCAGGTTCTTTTCTATGAGTTCTACCACCATCTCATCACTGACCTATGAGTAATTTGACAGTTCACCGAGTGATGAGCAGTGAAACAAAATGCATGAGAACACACAATTGGGACAGAGGCCCAAGTAAACCGCTCTCTGATTACCACTAAGCTACAGCACCAGTGACACAAAAACAGATTCATTCCTATTAAATGAGCACACAGAGACATGTTCAGAAGTAACATATGAACACACTACACATCTTACCAGTTTCCCGGCATCCATGGTCTCCTTGAGCCTCTTGCCGAGCTCAGAGCCAGACGCCACCATGGCCCTCAGCATGTCCCCCGTGGCCAGATGACACACGCAGTATTGCTCCGCCAACCGAGGAGCCTGGGAGGAGAGAGGGAGGGTATTGGCATAAAGTCTAATGTTATAAGGGCAACAAGTGTAGCATTTATGTAGTCACGTCTCATGTTTAAAAATCGTAACTTGACAACTCTGAAGAGAAGAGTATGGCAAAGCATTTGCGCCTCCCAACCTGTCAAACTATTACAACAGGTGGGAGCCCTTCAAAGCATTAAAGTCATGCTGAATATTAAATGGCTGGCTGTCATCCATGTTTTTGGCACAGTCGAAGCACAAAATCCCTTCAGCTACTGAACAACAAAGCCTCCACCCATGATATGAGACTAATGTCTGAATGTGTGTGGGGAGGGTGTGGGACACTTTTGGAAAAGTAAAAAGAATTGGGTTGAATAATTAACTCCATAGCACATGCAGTGCAGTACAGTAATTTCAAGGCCACAATCATGTTGATATTTTGTTTTTACATTTCAACAGAGTGATGTTCAGGTTGCTCCACAACTGAGAGAAAGACCAAACCCTCAGGAGACTGACTAAATACTTGGAATTTCCAAGCCAGACCAAATGTATGCGTCTTAAAGCCCCCTACAGTAATTTTACCGGCCTGTGCAAAAATTTTTTTAACAAATAAAACACTTTTGTTCAGTACACACTGAGTTTTTTTACAAGGCTATGCTGTGCAGCTATCCAGCCACTATAGCCATGAAAGAAGTCTGGATACAGGACTGCAAGGAAGTACATTAGTCCCCAACTATGGTCGTGGGAAGCTGCAGGGTGTTCCAGCTTTTGTTCCAGCCCAAACACAACTGACAAAATTACCTCTAACAAAACCTTGCACAACCTGTTGCTCTCCTGGACCAGAGACCCCCAGATATTAAATAATAACTACAATGAGCTTATTGACAGGGAAGTCAAAAGAGTCTATACGTTTTCATTGAACATGGTTAGATCAAGTGAAAGTAGTTGGCTCTGGCCAGCTGGAGAGTATGATTAGCATACAGTCACCTAATGTGACATTGAAAGTTAGTTGAAAGGGCCGTCTTATCTTTAGGACCCTTCACACAAACGGTTGGCATGCGACTCCAGAGACGAGTACCACACTGACTGTGTGCCAAGGTGTTGCAAGCTCACAATCAAACTGGCCAGCACCAGATAGTGGGAGGCAAGAGGGAAATAGTTACATTCCACTTGACAGACGCTCATAACTAGTTAACAAGCTATTTACAACTTTTATGATACTTCCTTATTCGTCTGATTTAGCTACTCAATTCATTACACGCGACTTGGTAAAGCTGGCAGAGATGGCCATCTATGCAAGCCAATTCAGAATGAGCTTCAGGACAAGGTGTATAAAGTTAGTTGGCAGTGTCGGCCAAGCGATCTCCCATTCCTGCACTTCCTAAGCAAGCTAGCAAGTTAGCATAATTCACTCACCTGTGTTCCTTTCCCAGCACCAGGGGGTCCGAGCAGGATTGCCCGAATTCCCTTTTTTACGTTGGACACCGCTTCATTCAGTTGCGTGTTGGGGGCCATATTCACTTTAATCGTCCTTGTGCCACTTTCCTTATCCGCCAACTCGCCCAAGAAAGGAAGTGTCACCGCCTTCTTCCTGTCTGTTTACTGCTTCTTCTTCTTCTTCTTCTTCTTCTTCTTCATTGGGGTTTATCGGCGGTTGGCATCCAACGTTACGGTGCATTACCGCCACCTACTGTACTGGAGTGTGGGCCAGAGAAAGGAGAATCTAAATCCTACCTACCAGACCCGTTGCTCTTAAAAAAAGATAACAAAATATTTGAAACTATATCTAATGACGTTCTACTCAATATAGTATTTAAACTATTTTCCTCTATCCCCTTCTCCCTCATACTAGATCGTATCCTCTCTATTTCCCTCTGATACTGCCCACACTGTAGCAATACATGCTCCTGACAAAATTCACACTTTCCTGTTGGATGCTTTCCTATCACATTTAAATGTCTTATTCAACTGGCTGTGTCCCTTCCTGCCGTCCTCCGCTCCCCGACTTTCCTCTGTACCTCCCGAGTGGCGCAGTGGTCTAAGGCACTGCATCGCAGTGCTAGCTGTGCCAATAGAGATCCTGGTTCGAATCCAGTCTCTGTCGTAGCCGGCCGCGACCTGGTGACCCATGGGGCGGCGCACAAGTCGTCCAGGGTAGGGGAGGGAATGGCCGGCAGGGATGTAGCTCAGTTGGTAGTTGGTTCGATTCCCACGGGTATGAAAGAAAAATAATAATAATGTATGCTGTCGCTCTGGATAAGAGCGTCTGCTAAATGACTAAAAATGTACTTGCAATAAATGCCGTCCCTTATTATATCTGCACCATCACTGTATATATCAGTCTAAAGCAGGTATTGTCTGCTACGTGAGCTAAAGGACAGGAGACTCATTAACACTGCACATGAGTCAAAGCTGTCTTGTTTGACTTCCTCCACCCACTGCAAGGCCATCAGCTCCGCCGTATATACAGCCAGATGACCTGTAATACGTTTCCTGACTTCCACCCCACATCCCTGCACTACAAATGTTGACCCAGTACGTCCTGTCCTTTGATCTTTTGAACCATCTGTGTAAATGGCCACAAAATCCTGATACACAGTATCCAGACGTCTCTTAAAGAAATCAGCTGGATCAACACCATCCCTATCTTTCTGTAGTCTCTCCAACACTTCTAGATCAACTACTGGAGGCGGGAGTAGCCATGCTGGATTTACAGAAATAGCTACCATTGGACTAAACTCCCTTCCATACTGTCCCATCTCCTTCGCCTGGGTATTACCCACCCACCCAAAGCTCGTGTTCTGTCTTCGCTCATGTTCCCAGCATGCCTGTAAAATTCCTTTCGCAGGATGACACCCCATGTCCTTGTAGGTTGACCCAATAACTCATTGTCAGCTACTATCCTGTCTGTTTAGGATGAAACATCTACTATCCTGTCTGTTTAGGATGAAAGCCCTCTCTATCAGAAAATACTTCCATCACATTGGCGATTAGATGGCTCAGTCCAGCGTCCTACACGCTGATTTGCTGAAATAGTAAACTCGTTTCTTGATATAACATCCAGGTTTTGCTTATGCAATTATTAATCTTCTTTGGTCAGGGATCATAAAAAATAAAGGAACATTGTTATTAGTTACATAATCCTCTATCATTATTATTATTATTATTATTATTATTATTATGAATAATTAATTAATTAATTAATTAATTAATATTATTATGATTGTTTCATCTGTCGGGAAGAATTACAAGTACTGAATGATGTGTCCAGAGATGGCAGAAGAGGCTCGGGGACTGTTCTTAACCACTGCCATGATGTGGTGGCTTTTTGTGCGCTTTTCAGCAGCGGTGGCATCACTCAGGTGGGTGCTACATGTTCGGCAATGGAGGACCAGTACCTACGGAGAAGCCGGTCCTTTGGAGGAACTGACGATCCGAGAAGCAGATGTGGTGCTCTGACGAAGCGCTCCGGGCCTGTTTGTCAGAATGTCTTTGTTTCTCTCTGGCTGTACCGTCGATGCCCCTTCCATGAAGGTACACTGCCTTCCCAATCCAAACTGCCTTAACTCCCTGCCTTTAATATGAAGCCAAATAGAGACGTTCAATCTTCATCTCTACCATATCAATTTTAATTTGTTGTTTTTTTGTTTTGCTTTTTATGTGCTTTGAGATTATTTTCTGTAATGAAAAGCGCTATACAAGTTAAATAAATAATACTATTAATTAATAATATTGTTATTGTTATTTGTGTCTAAATATAGGCGTTTGTTAGATGCTCACTCTATAATGAAATGAATGAGTAGTCAAATGGTAGGAAACTATTAGCTGTGGAAGTTATTCAATCATGTTCAATGTCCCATCCGCCTACAGCAGTTTAAGAAATGTCTAAATGGCTTCCTTGGGACTTCCCAACTCTGACGTCACCCCATTAAAGTTTACATTTAAATAGTTATGGTAAAGTTTAGGGTTAAGTACGGATTATGGTTAAGGTTAGGGTAGGGGTTAAGGTTAGGGTTAAGGGTAGGGATGTCCCAAGGATCCCTGATAGCACTAACACTGTTTATGCACACTACACTGTGAGATCAGTCATTACATGATCAAATTCATATCCAATGAAGATAGGGCTGATTAGATGGTAAAGATGGAATTATGGATTAGATGGAAAGACTGAGAGTTGTCATAATGTCCACACAGTGTCCACAGTGTGTCCTCATCATGTGCCATCGATGTACCAGTCCAGGACATTTGACTTGAACAAATGTTCACACCAAACTTGATATTCTTATGTTGTCTCTACTGACCAAGTATTGATGAAGAAGCTTTTACTACTGTAATAAATTACAAATGGCACATATGTATTTGTAGGCAAACCCCTAATTAAAGGTTGTTCAAATAACAATTTTCCAACTAACAAGAAAACCAACAAACTTCTATTAAAACCACAGTAAACTAAGAGCATTTCGACCCAAAAAAAGAGAATATTAATCAAACTAATAACATTCCAAGTGCCTCATGTAGTTCAGCTACATGTCAATAAGAGATAGAGCTGTGTGGATGTAATTGATGACCAATGATACGAATTGGCCTACCACTTATTAATTCATAGTGATAGCTAGTTTGTTAGTTGAATGAATGCCACAAACAGAGAAAAGAGAAGTCTTGTCATTGCGGAACTTTTATTTTTAACATCCTCCTTCCGTCTATTTTGTGTGTCTATTTTGGATTGATGTAATACGTGTCTGGTAGGAGTGTTTAGGATCAGTAACCACCTCGACCCACTGAAAGACAGACAATTACACAATAGCTAATTATGTCTGAAGGAATAGTGTACGCTGATGTGAAGTTCGAAAAGCAACAAAGGACTGAAAGAAAAAATGCTGGTATGTTCTAAACTAAAATATGTCACTCAAAAATGTTTTTTTTTACAGGATGTGAAGAATGTTCAACAAAAAGCTTATATCTGCATCAATATCTATCTAATGTTAAAGAGGCAATCTGGGATTGGTAAATACATTTGAAGACTTTTAAATTAATGATATATAGACATTGATTCTTGAAGAATATTACTTATAAATGCCTCATGAGCTTAGTTCAACGGTATTATCCCATCTAACTGTAAGTCGCTCTGGATAAGAGCGTCTGCTAAATGACTAAAATGTAATGTAAATGCAGAACCCCAAATGTAAGCTCGTTTTACTACATTGTTTGTACACAATGTAATTGTAAACAAACACTGTATAGCTTCAAAACATGGTTAAAACTATCATTTTGATCTCATGGTCATCCAGCCCCACCTCCCAGCTATTTACCAAAAAAGACCCAGATTGCCCCTTTAAAATTATATTGATAATGTATTGACTTTATTTGACAACGCATATTGATAACCTATTTCAAAACATGTTCATTAACCCTCCCGTTGTCCTAGGGTCAAAGTGACCCGCCACTGTGTTGAACCAACTTTAAAAATTAAATAAAGTTGGTTCAACACAGTGGCGGGTCATTTTGACCCTAGGACAACGGGAGGGATAAGACAAAAATGACTTCCCACTGAAATGACATGGAAACAACGTTGATTGAACCCGTTTTTGCCCAGCGGGTTACATCACAAAGAGATTTTAGGGATTTCAATTGCTACTTTGTAGGTATATTCAAAGGGTTTGCGAGAAACATATTTTTAGCTGGTTGGCATAAAATATTTTAAGCACGCCTCATGTTTTATCAGTGTTCCGTGCCGATTCTTTTACATTAACAAATTGAGTGCGAAAAATGCTGGTTCTTGAAAAGCCAATGTGATGAGAGGAGTTTTGTCTCGTGCTCACACTTTCATGGTTGCATTTCAGCAACAGCATCCACAGCGAATGATACCACATACTCTGAAATCTCAATTTCCAGAACCGGACGCAACCAGCCATCTACCGACCCTAATGGTAAGTGCGTGTGTGGGTGAGTGCCTGCGTGTGTGCTTACGTGTGTGTGCAGTGAATGTGTACGTGGTTGTGTGGGTCAGATGAAGTCAGTGCAAAATGCAAGCTAGACAAAACAATGAGGACGTTTTCTTTCAGGCAACTGAAAATATCTCAACAACATATGGGTGAGAAAAAAAGTTGACACCATGCAGAACATAATCTAATTGAGCTTTTTCATCATCCTTGTCTCCATAGCCTCAAAAACCATGTTCCTTGTTCCACGAGTCATCCGTTTTCAACATGTTTTGATGATTTCATGTCTAACTTACAATAAAATTAAGTAGAAAGTCTAATAGGTTGATGTGAGTCTGATTCATATTCTCTCTCTGTCTCCTCAGGTGGTGACCCTGATTCTCAGGAGGGGTCAAAGGTCAGAGCAGGTGGATGTGACCCTGTCAGAGTGGTTCTGGTGACTCTCTGTGTTCTTCTGATGGGTGCTGTCATTGGACTTGGGTTCCTGTGTGAGTGACCTAGATAGTGGAGGTGGCTAATCTAAAGCAGACTCTATAACGGAGACAGAGTCATAGAGGCTCTTGTCCAGAGCTATGAATATAGAGAAATATCTAGGCACATTTTTAGCACAAGAGCTGGAAAACCCCCAAAGTACTGCTTCAAATGGATAAATGTTTTATGCCAGGTCATTGTCTAATATCTGTAACAACGTAATTGATAGAAGATCCCGTAGAAAAATGTTGGTGAATAAAATCAATAGCTATTTGTAATACTTTTCACAATCAACTAGTATTACATTTTACATTTTACATTTTAGTCATTTAGCAGACGCTCTTATCCAGAGCGACTTACATATTATTATTATTTTTTTATACTGGCCCCCTGTGGGAAACGAACCCACAACCCTGGCGTTGCAAACGCCATGCTCTATCAACTGAGCTACATCCCTGCCGGCCATTCCCTCCCCTACCCTGGACGACGCTGGGCCAATTGCGCGCCGCCCATGAGTCTCCCGGTCGCAGCAGAAGAATGTTGGGGTCAGATTCCTGCAGTTTAAAATGTATGTATTTTTGCAATCAGATATCAGCAACCCGCAAACCAAAAACACAGAGCTCCAAATTCTGCAAGCGGCTTACGATCGAAATCTCACAGGTTTGGAGAAAGGTTTGACAGCCGGTAAGTTTAAGTTGACACAAAACATTTTTTCCCAGCGGTTTTCTAATTTAACTGTTGTTTATATGCAGATGGATGTAGGGAACTTGAGTCAGAGTTGTTATCTTTTGGCAACTAGCTTTAACGATCAAAAACAGAGAGCTTCTCTGTAAGTACTATAGAGTAGACCCATAGTGGAAGAGTCTAGAGCAGGAGTCCCAAACGGCCTGGTCACATATGCAGCTGGATAGGACAGCTAGAGGGAAGTTGGGTCAAACTCATTAACGTACATTCCAAATGTGTATTTTTCACACAGATACAACTTGCCCACAAACCCAGTGCAGCGCTCTTCAAAATCTCAAAGACTCGATTGAAATGAATCTTACAGCAGTTGAGCTTTGGATCATATGCCTCATGCTAAGATGAATACTAAACAGTGCAACATTTCCATTGACATTTTCATCCCTATAAAAAGTGTATCAGAAAAGAGAGTTTGTATGTTATGGGCTTTACCATCTCAGTTATGAGGAAATTATTGAAGCAAAAATGTCAAATCTGATTTAACCAGAAGAGAGTAGTGGAAGTCTGAGTTACAAAATGTGACTAGGTTTTTTCTTTATTCTCAACTGTTTTGAAACATAATCAAGACTTGATTGAGCAGAGAACTCCATCAACTTGCCGTACAATCACAGGTACTATGCACGAATGTCCCAATAAATAGTGGCACAAGATTCAGTCATAACTAAAAGTGCTTTGTGACATAGGCCTGTGTTTTATATTATAGAATGAACTCAAATGAATTAAGGAATTGGAAGAATTAATATAAGAAATTCCATGGTAAAAAAGCAACTGGAAGTCACTTCAAACCAAATTGTATTGCCTAGGTTTCAGTCTATTTCAGCTTTTTTCTTATCCCAATGTCACCACTTAGGCTGGTGAAGTATGTGCACAGTAAATCAATGTGCTTTCATGTCAGTATGGATCTTATACAATCAGTAACAAAAATAAATAAATACTATTCATATAGTATGTTACAAATACTTGATTTTGATAAGGGACTGTAGACAAAGACATGTAGATCACCAGTCTGGGGTTATTTCTGTTTTCTCCCTCCACAGATGATAAGTGTCCAATATGTGCTGATGGCTGGATGGATTATGGGAAAAAGTGCTATTATTTTTCCAATAGTAAACTGACCTGGGTTGAGAGTCGGGATAAGTGTGTCTCCATGGGGGGACACCTGGTCATCATAGACAGCGAAGAAGAGCAGGTAGTTATGACTATTGAATGGGAATTAAATAATACATTGCATCTGTCCATCCATATCATCTTTCATTAATTAAGGCTGTGGTCAGATATAGATTTTGTATCCACAAATTACAGACTGAGCCAATTGGTTTAAAAGGTCTCAAAGTGCTTTACATTTTATTATGAGGGCTCAATACCATGTCAGTCTAATGAAAAAAACGAACTATAAAGCACATGCATTTAAACGTGCAATCTACAATAATTCAAGTACACCAAGTACACCATGTTTGACTGTTTTTAAAGGGATAATTCAACCATTACATAATTTTGTATTTGTTGCCTTATAAGGCTAAACTGAAATTAGTCTATGGACAAGGAGAGATTGCAAAGCACGCTTTTGTTTTGTATACCTCGCTTTTGTCACCAACCGCTAACTTTAGCATTATATAACCAAAACCAATAAAATAAAATGTACCCTAAATTAGCATGCTTTAAATATTATGATAAATCATGTGGACCTAACATCAAACAGTCCTTGAGCTTTTTAGTCATTGCACTTTAGGTTCCACAAAAGCATGGATTACTGTTCTTAGATTTACTCGTCTTGTCCATAGACTGCTATCTATCAGGGTAAGGAAACATTTGGGTGAACTATCCTTTAAAACCATAGTAGCACTCTAATATAATTTGTCAATCAATGTTCCTGGTGAAGACATTCTTAGATGATACAGTTGGTGCTAAAATGAGTGTTGGTGAAGACAAGTTCTGGATCGGACTGACAGACAAAAATGAAGAGGGAAAGTGGTTATGGGTGGACAACACACCTCTGGATCCAAATAAAAGGTCAGAAGTTATTTTGAATACATTTCCAATAGTAATACATTTATGAAAGCATGATCATTCAGTATTGCTTCTACAGTATCAGAGTTTTGAGATGTGTTCTCATAATTGACAAAACACTAAAATACATGTGAAATCATGAGGATTCCCAAACAATGCAGTTAATATGAGGACATGGATGGCTGAATGAAATATAATGTAATTCCTCTGATTATGTGTTATCTTACGTCTACCCTAGCTTCTGGTCTGTTTTTGGAGATGTCAACACAGAGCCTGATGACTGGCAAGGAGTCAACGGAATAAATACAGATGGGGAAGACTGTGCTAGAATGGGAGAAAAACGTGGTACTCATAATGAAAACAGTTGGTTTGATGTCAACTGTGGTACGCCACACAGAAGAATATGTGAGACAATGGCAATTGCATGATACAGTATCTGTGTGAAACTAAAAAAAGTATTGAATTTTGCTCTGAACACAAAAGTATCTTTACGTATATTTTTGATGACATTTATAAGAAGAAGAAAGGAGAAACTGTATTGGTAAATGTACTACAGTAGATTACTGTTGATGTTTACAGACTGCTTGTTATCTACAATATGTTTATGCTTTATGCGTTTTATGCTATAATGTAAAACAAACCAAATCTACAACTGAGCCCAACAAAAAAACATGTCAGATATCTTCAGTTCAGCATTTTCATTATTAAAGGAAAACTCCACCCAAAAACGATCTTTTGGTATTTATTTCATTAGTCCATTGTTGATAGAAGTTAGGTTCAAATCAAATCAAATTTTATTGGCCACATGCGCCGAATACAACAGGTGCAGACATTACAGTGAAATGCTTACTTACAGCCCTTAACCAACAGTGCATTTATTTTTAACAAAAAAGTAAAAATAAAACAACAACAAAAAAAGTGGCTTTGTCGTGCCCTCTTCACGGCTGTCTTGGTGTGTTTGGACCATGATAGTTCGTTGGTGATGTGGACACCAAGGAACTTGCAGCTCTCAACCTGTTCCACTACAGCCCCGTCGATGAGAATGGGGGCGTGCTCAGTCCTCTTTTTTTTCCTGTAGTCCACAATCATCTCCTTTGTCTTGGTCACGTTGAGGGAGATGTTGTTGTCCTGGCACCAGGTCTCTGACCTCCTCCCTATAGGCTGTCTCATCGTTGTCGGTGATCAGGCCTACCACTGTTGTGTCGTCTGCAAACTTAATGATGGTGTTGGAGTCCATCCAATTGGCGACAGATTTTCATGCGAATATTCAAAAATCTGCATAAAAAGAATATGCGCATTATCCCACCAGAGATGTTTCCATCAAATTGACTTGTTGTGGATAAAGGCTGTGCATGATGACATAGTGCACATAAAAGTAACTTTTGTGGTTAAATTCCCAATTCCCAAATAAAAAATAAAAGTTAAATGGGTTTCCATCGCATTTTCAACTCTACTGATGTTTTCGTGAAGAAACATTTTGTGTTATAGTGAATGTGCCCACTCTGGTATTGGCATGTGCGCTATATAGCCAATTATTATGGACAAAAGAGTGAGATTATTTATATTTTTCAAACGACAGCCAAGCATTGATCATCATGTCACCAGAATAAGATCCTCAATATTTATTATATAGGAGCATCAAGCTTATCACCTATCTTTACTGTCAGTGTTAGCAGGTCGGGTAACAAATTAGAGTGGCAGAATAAGTATCATGCAAATCATTTTTTGTTGTGACAGCCAAGTATGTTAATAAATACACGTGAGGCAGCTGAAAACTTTTATTGAAACCTCAAAAAAAGTGTCAGCACTTTGCTTAGGATGCCGCCAGGTGTGGAAAGCTCTTAGAGAGCTACCCAGAAAGACTCACAGCTGTAATCGCTGAAAAAGGTGCTTCTACAAAGTATTGACTCAGGGGTGTGAATAATTATGTAAATGAGATATTTCTGTATTTCATTTTCAATAAAATTGCTAAAAACATGTTTTCACTTTGTCATTATGGATTATTGTGTGTAGATGGGTGAGAAAAAAATGTATATTTAAAGTGAAGTGTAACTTTATAGTTACCTGTGAGCTTTTTCTATATAATTACTTATTACTCATTACCAAGTGAAAATACATAAACAAAAGATGAGCTTCTACTTTAGTCAACTTTAATTGCAACATGTAAAAAAGACCTTACATTTCTTACAAAATAATAAGGATTTTTATTGTTAGATTAATAATTTCATTAATTAGATTAAACAAAGATGTAGGCCTACTCAATAACATAAAAATAACTATTCTAGTGGTGACTCAAATCTGTAGCTTATAGTATAGTGAGTAGCCTACATAGCTAATTTAGAAAAATGGGATGGTCTTTTTCTTCACTTTTTAACATTACAAGTAACAATGGAAACACCAACTCTGTCTCTGAATCCGTCTTCGTCTGTTTCTTTCTTGTAAGCGCCAAGAAACCCCAGTTATAACAAACCTTTATTTGCTCTCACAGCTGTAGCTTGGCCTATGGTGCAATAGAGAAGGCCTCACAGGTTCAAAGACAGTACCTACTGTTTAACTCTCCGATTACCCAACTGGTTCATGTTTATTTGGGCACACAACAGAAAACCTTTTAAAACGGTCAACAAAAACGAGCATTTCTAATTGAACAAATCCAGGTAGTCCCTCTCCTTTTCAGTGCGTTTTCTTCAATTTGTTTGTGCCTAATGAACATGACCCAGGTCTCATCCCAATCCCACTCCCTCCCCTGGTAACCGTCTTGGACCACTGGTGCTGGGGGCCTTTCAGGGGATCGCTCCGGGGACTTCTCCCTCCCCTCCTCGGCCACCATCTCAGCCATGAGGATGAACGGGTCAGAGGGGTTCTTCTCCTTGATGTCCTGGATGGTCTCTACGATGTACTCAGCATTTTCCAGGGCCACTGGCAGTTCAATAGTAGGTGGTTTCAAATTAGTACAGAGCCTACAGCTCTTGTTGGAGAGAATTTGAGGAGAAATCTGTGTGACTATGTGACTGACTGAGGTGACGGCTAAGTAGTGCTAGATGTGGGATGTTAACATACCGGTATGGGGAGTCCAACAGGCTGGGGGGTGTACTGGGTGTACAGGTTCATGGGGACTGGGACATACACTGGTACTGGGACAGGCACTATGATCACCTTGGGGAAATTATCATCTGTGGACCAACAAACAATAAATAAATAGAAATACAAGTAGAGATGTGTGTGTCTTTGAATATGTATACAGGCTACACGTGTGTATGTCTGCGCATGTGTGTATGTGTACGTGCATGTGTGTGTGTGTGTGTGTGTGTGTGTGTGTGTGTGTTTGTGGTGTTCTACCTGTCTGGCACCCTGTGGTGGTGAAGTTGGGTTTACACATGATGCCCTTGTTCTGTACCATGGGTTTGCAGAGCAGGGCCTTGTTCTTCTATATTTTATGGCCCAATTACCGTATAAGCCTGTAACCGACGGTTATGGATGAAGACCGCCACAAAAATAAAATAGGAAAAATGTAAGCTTGTTTTACGCCATTGTTTGTATACAATGTAATTGTAAATAAACACTGTATGGCTTCAAAACACTGTTAAAACTATCATTTTTATCTCATGGTCATGGATGGTCCGTCCTTGCTCCCATAGCTTCGTCTATTAACTTGAGAGTGGTTACATTCCTCCAGCCCCATCCCTCAGCTGTTTACCAAAAAAGACCCAGATTGCCCCTTTAAAATTATATTGACAACACATATTGATACCCTATTTCAAAACATGTTCACTAGGACAAAAATGACTGACATCACAAAGAGGTTTTAGAGACGATAATTAAAAGGGTTTGCAGGAAACATATTTTTAGCTGGTTTGCATGCAAGACTTCATGCACGCTTCATGCCTTATCAGTGATCTGTGCCGATTATTTTACATTACAGTTTTTCTTTATCACTTTGGTACGATTTTCACAAGTATGTGGTACATTTTCACAACTCTTAGTACAAAACTCTAAACTGGTCACACTTGTAATGCAGCCAGTCTTTCATTCAAAACCTGTCATTCCTTCAGTTGGATTGTAAACATCTCTCACAACACAACCATTGATTCAAAATATAGAGTATGTTTATTGTGAAATGTAATGAGAACATTGGTTTAATCACCAAAACACAACATAATAATATATTTTCAATTTAGTTGTTTTAGCTACCAGTTAATCCAATAGAGAACAATACAAGATACGTGTTTCAAATCGCCCTTAGAAGTGCTGAAAGTAATATGCTACAGAACTGTCAATTACAGTAGATAACACAGTTTTCACATTAGGCAATACACTTACATTACCAAACAATCTATAGTTTCTATAATATCTATCCAATGTGTAATCAAAGGTGTGATCATGCAAAAATAAATTTTATTTATGTATGCACTTTTTACAAATGTATGCACACATGACTGTAAGTCGCTTTGGATAAAAGCGTCTGCTAAATGGCATATTATTATTATAAATGTAATAAATTAAATGAAACAAATAAAAATAATAAAAATAAAGCATAAGGTTTAACATGAATTAATTTGAATGAAGCCTGTCTTGAGCATTTGGCCATAAATTCTCATCCACATCACAGTGAATGTCCTCATTATTCATGCACTGCGGGAAAAGCCTTTTGACATGGCGAATCCAAGCTTGACGTTGGTCTGAATTGATGTCGTCGAATGCTTCATTCATGGCCAGAAGTAGGGTGGCACGCTCATGGGGATGGTGATCGTGCAGCTTCCACCTCCATGCTGAAAATAATTCCTCAATAGGGTTGGGGAAAGAAAAGTATGGGGTCAGGTATAGGGTCACGAATCGGGGATGGGCCCAAAACCATGCCTGAACCACCTCTGCATGGTAGAACCTGACATTGTCCCACTTCATCAACCAAGATATATTTGTGATGCTTCACAGCAGCATCAAGCACCATAGTTATTTTTACAGTATAGTTACAATATGATATTGTGAAGTATCATGTGCATCAAATAGTAACAGTAATACAGTATATAGTGCTGTACCTGAACATACTCGACCCACAGTTGTTTCACCCAGTCGTTGTTTCTCTCAAAAGGCATCAGGTAAATGTGTTTCATACATACCTGGTGCCTCTTCAAAAGGCGGGCCATTGTTGGTAGGCTGATGGATGCCACATTGGCAAAGGTGTCATCGTTCTCCTCAATGGCCTTCTTTATATCGGACAGCCGTATGACATTCCTGGCCCTCACCATTTCCACCACTGCCCTCTCCTGCTGGTCGGTCAGCACACAGCCACGGCCACCACAATGGGCTCTTCTGTCAACTCTGAGGGTAGAACAGAGTATACTGTCAATAGATCATACTGTAAGAATACTGTAACATGTTTTGTGAATTTACATGCATTACAATATGTAACTTACTGTAAATGTAATGGTAAATCATAGTGCATATCCTGCAGACTTACCGGTAAGGATCAAATTGACAGTTTATCTTTTCAGATTGGGGTGAACTAATCTGGCAGCCTCTGTCATGGTAAGGCCTCTGTTTACCACATGTTCAACGATGATGGCCCGGACTTCATTAGACACAACAGTTCCCTGCCGTCTGCCTCCCTCTCTCTGATGTCCACCTCTTTGATGGGGCCCATGCCCAACTCTTTGACCTCTTTGATGGGGCCCATGCCCAACTCTTTGACTTCTTTGATGGGGCCCATGCCCACCTCTTTGACTTCTTTGATGGGGCCCATGCCCACCTCTCTGACGGGCCCCTTGTCCACGAGCTCTTTGATTTCTACCTCTCCCTTGCTGTCTTTCCTGCTCCTTGTTGAAATCAATTTGCAATAACTAGTAGTCATTATGTATGGTTATCATGTATCATATGTCATTTAGATGGGTATACTTTACAAACACACATTTCATTTCTGTAGTTCTCAAAATCCATATATAGTAGACAAACCAGTTAAAAATCTATAGGTTTACCAAACGGTTAAGTGATTAACCATTAAGCGCAGTTCGATTAAGTGATGGTCAAATGTATTTAAACAAATGAAAAGAGAATCATATGAAAAGTATTGTGAGCATTGCATTGTGAAAGGCAATTACTTTATATGAAAGGTATTTCTATATGAAACACTGATAAGGTTTGGAGAAAAGGTTACTGTGTGATCTGTAGCTCAGCTGGTAGAGCACGGCGCTTGTAACGCCAAGGTAGTGGGTTCGATCCCCGGGACCACCCATACGTAAAAATGTATGCACGCATGACTGTAAGTCGCTTTGGATAAAAGCGTCTGCTAAATGGCATATTATTATTATTATTATTTTGTGTGTTGTACTTATTCAATTGAAAATGTGCTTAAGATTTTGAGAAAACAGCCTTTTTCATGATCTGTTTTGAGTTTTGTAATAAGAGTTGAGAAATTTTACCGCATACTTGTGAAAACAATACCAAAGCAATTTAAAAAAAACTAACAAATTGCGTGCTAAAAATGCTGGTTCAGGAACAGCCAATGTCATGAGAGGAGATTTGTCTTGTAATCACACTTTCATGGTTGCATTCCAGCAACAGCATCCACAGCGACTGATGCCACATACTCTGAAATCTCAATTCCCAAAGCCCAAACCCTAATGGTATGTGTGTGTGTGTTTGTGTGTGTGTGTGTGTGTGTGTGTGTGTTCCTTGTTCCTACGAGTCATACACTGAGTGTACAAAACATTAGGAACAACATTCTAATATTGAGTCGCACCCCCTTTTGCCATCAGAACAGCCTCAATTCATCGGGGCATGGACTCTTAAAGGTGTCGAAAGCGTTCCACAGGGATGCTGGCCCATGTTGACTCCAATGCTGTGTCAAGTTGGCTGGATACCCTTTGGGTGGTGGACCATTCTTGATACATATGGGAACTGTTGAGCTTGAAAAACCCAGCAGCGTTGCAGTTCTTGACACACTCAAACCGGGGCGCCTGGCACCTACTACCATAACCCGTTCAATGGCACTTAAATATTTTGTCTTGCCCATTCACCCTCTGAATGACACACATAAACAATCCATGTCTCAGTTGTCTCAAGGCTTAAAAATCCTTCTTTAACCCGTCTCCTCCCCTTCATCTACACTGATTAAAGTAGATTTAACAAGTGACATCAATACGGGATCATAGCTTTCACGTGGATTCACCTGGTCAGTCTATGTCATAGAAAGAGCGTTTCTCAATATCCATACAACCGTGCTCCACACTCTCATGCTCTGAGTGCATTCTCCGACCATGTTCTCTTGAGTACATTCTTCACTGAACCTTCATCCAGCCAGGACAATGGCAACAATAGACGAAACAAGATCTACACAAAACAAATGTTTTACTTCATAATTATCAGCTAGATATGTGAATCGTAATAATCTAGCTAGCCAGCTAATTAAACAGGCAATAATGACCTAAAACTAATGTTATGCAAGATATATGTACATTTTTTGTGGGTAGCTACCAATTCTCTGTGGGTACAGTAGCTAGCTAACAATTATTTGTGGCTTTCTGGCTAGCTAACAGTACTAGTAGCTAGTCATTTAGCCCTATTGACTTATTATGGCCTTGCTATCTACGGTACCTAGGCTGGTAAACATGCCAAAATTAACACAGCATGTATTTATTAACGTATCAAGATAAAATATTGTAGTCTGGCAACATATGAGATGTGAATAGGCAACATTTCATTCCGAAGTCAGAGTGTATTCTTCTTCTTCTTTGCGATTTGGTTGGCGGATCGCATCCAACTTTTAGGTGCATACACCGCCACCTACTGTACTGGTGTGTGAGGCCATTCATGGCCTTCCTACATTATATTCTTAGATACAATAATACAAAATTGGGAAACAGGACCACCTATTTATTTTTATTTTTTTGTGTGACTATTTTTCGGGGGGCTTTCGATTCATTTCTGCAGCACAATTAACAACCATGGCTATAAATGTTAAAAAGCCCACCTTACTGAAGCACATATTCTTCCCATCACTCTCTCTTGATCTCTGCCTATTCACAGGAATGCTCTCAGGATCCCTCACCCTGTACCCATCTTCCTCTACCACTCTCTTCACTGCTTAGGCATACAACACTTTCTGTACTATTCTTTCCCTGGCAAACTCAATCTGCCTTTCTCTCACCGGACACCTCCGATCTCCAGCCCCATGATCACTCAAATAATGGCCACCATTGATTTCAATAAATATTTCCTCATTTTTTACGTGGTTGAGTCATATTTCTTTGCATACTTTCTGTTGAAGCTTGCATCGATGTATGCTTCAAAATATGTACAAACGGAGTACGCATTTGAGAAGTGCCCTCCATGCTCCGTTTCGCATACTTTGATTTGGACTAATACTCTGACCCTCCCGTGCTCCAATTTGCATGCTCGGAGCACGGTAATATGCATTTTGAGAAACACCCTCAGTGTACGTTTTCTTCATGTTTTGATGATTTCATGTCTAACATACAATACAAATAAGTAGAAAGTCTTATAGGTTGTCAGTTTAATTAATTCCCTCTCTGTCTCCTCAGCTGGTGACCCTGATTCTAAGGAGGGGTCAAAGGTCAGAGCAGGTGGATGTGACCCTGTCAGAGTGGTTCTGGTGACTCTCTGTGTTCTTCTGATGGGTGCTGTCATTGGACTTGGGTTCCTGTGTGAGTGACCTAGATAGTGGAGGTGGCTAATCTAAAGCAGACTCTATAACGGAGACAGAGTCATAGAGGCTCTTGTCCAGAGCTATGAATATAGAGAAATATCTAGGCACATTTTTTGCACAAGAGCTGGAAAACCCCCAAAGTACTGCTTCAAATGGATAAATGTTTTATGCCAGGTCATTGTCTAATATCTGTAACAACGTAATTGATAGAAGATCCCGTAGAAAAATGTTGGTGAATAAAATCAATAGCTATTTGTAATACTTTTCACAATCAACTAGTATTACATTATTAAGCAGAAGAATGTTGGGGTCAGATTCCTGCAGTTTAAAATGTATGTATTTTTGCAATCAGATATCACAACCCGCAAACCAAAAACACAGAGCTCCAAATTCTGCAAGCGGCTTACGATTGAAATCTCACAGGTTTGGAGAAAGATTTGACAGCCGGTAAGTTTAAGTTGACACATAAAAAACGTTCACAGCGGTTTTCTAATTTAACTGTTGTTTATATGCAGATGGATGTAGGGAACTTGAGTCAGAGTTGTTATCTTTTGGCAACTAGCTTTAACGATCAAAAACAGAGAGCTTCAAGAACTGCAAGTCAAGAACAAAGATCTTCATGAGAAGGAACGTGCAGGTGAGCGTTGACACATATACAGTGAGGGAAAAAAGTATTTGATCCCCTGCTGATTTTGTACATTTGCCCACTGACAAAGAAATGATCAGTCTATAATTTTAATGGTAGGTTTATTTGAACAGTGAGAGACAGAATAACAACAAAAAAATCCAGAAAAACGCAATTCAAAAATGTTATAAATGTATTTGCATTTTAATGAGGGAAATAAGCATTTGACCACCTCTCAATCAGAAAGATTTCTGGCTCCCAGGTGTCTTTTATACAGGTAACGAGCTGAGATTAGGAGCACACTCTTAAAGGGAGTGCTCCTAATCTCAGTTTGTTAGCTGTATAAAAGACACCTGGGAGCCAGAAATCTTTCTGATTGAGAGGTGGTCAAATACTTATTTCCCTCACTAAAATGCTAATCAATTTATAACATTTTTGACATGCGTTTATTTCTGGATTTTTTTGGTAACACACTACGCTGTGAAGGACTGAAATCCTGCAGCGCCCGCAAGGTCCCCCTGCTCAAGAAAGCACATATACATGCCCGTCTGAAGTTTGCCAATGAACATCTGAATGATTCAGAGGAGAACTGGGTGAAAGTGTTGTGGTCAGATGAGACCAAAATTGAGCTCTTTGGCATCAACTCAACTCGCAGTGTTTGGAGGAGGAGGAATGCTGCCTATGACCCCAAGAACACCATCCCCACCGTCAACAATGGAGGTGGAAACATTATGCTTTGGGGGTGTTTTTCTGCTAAGGGGACAGGACAACTTCACCGCATCAAAGGGACGATGGACGGGGCCATGTACCGTCAAATCTTGGGTGAGAACCTCCTTCCCTCAGCCAGGGCATTTAAAATGGGTCGTGGATGGGTATTCCAGCATGACAATGACCCAAAACACACGGCAAAGGCAACAAAGGAGTGGCTCAAGAAGAAGCACATCCAGTTTGATTTCTATTTTGCCATATATTTTTAACTGTGCTGTTTCACAAATGTTCTGAAACTACAGTATATACATTTTACGGACACAGTATATTTTACATTAGTTATCTTGTTGTTTTTAATCCCACCCTTCAGCTCCACTCAACCCCTCCCATCTATCGCTTAACACCATCCATTTTCTATTTCTATTCGCCATGTATTTTTCAACTGTGCTGTGATGTTTCACAATAGTTCTGAACCTTTCTATTCTCATAGTTTCTACAGATTGTAAATTAAAGATAAACCTTTTTGCTAAAAGTATTATTATATTATTGATCGATTGACTATGACTTTTCAAATCACCTAGTAGTGCTATTTGCAGAGTTAGCTCCAGGTAAATGTTGCACTTCTTCAACCATTCCTGGACCTGCGACCAAAAACAAGCTACATATGGACAGTACAAATACAAATTATCTAATTATTCTGTATCTTCGCGGCAAAATCTGCAGAGCTGGGATGGTTGTATCCCCCATATATATAACATTCTATTGGTTGCAAGAATTTTGTATAATAAGTTCAATTGAAAAACTTTGAACCGGGCGTTGTTTTGAGTATCAGCTCATAAATCATGTGCCATGGAATCGGTACATCGAAAATCTCTTTCCAACTATTTTGCAATCTATATTGCACAGCTGTCAATTGTTTGGTCCTTAAATGAAACTGGTATACTTTTTTATTTAGCAACATTTTCTTTAACCAATTTTGGTCTTTAATGCAGGGCCAACAGACAAGCTCCTTACTTTTCCCCCTTCCTCTTGCCTCTTCCATTTTTGCGGTAATGCTGCTATTAGTTGGTTGTAATTTTGGGTAGAGCAGACATTTCCATATATTTTTGTTAGCTGCATGTGTGACATAACTCCACCAGTCCTATTTATGATATCATTTACAAAGATTATACCTTTTTTTTTTTTTTTTCTTCAAGAAATAATGGTTTTTAATCAATTAGCATATTTGAGTTTAACCACAATATTTGTTGTATTATTTGTTCTGTCTTTTCCTGGTGGAATATTCTGAAATTGCAATCAACTTTCTATGGCTTGTTTTAAAAATAGCAATATTTTGGAGATGATTTCATTTTCAAATAACCGAAAGTGAGAGGTTGTAATCTGAATAAAGGGAAAAAGCCATTCTTAAACATGGAGTGAGATATTATTACTAAACTGCTAGAGAACCAGTTCGGATTAAAATTTAACTTTTGTATGACTGACTCCTTTAGTAAGAGGTCTAATGCTTTAATATTTAATTATTTATGCCCTCTGAATATTCATTATATAAATAGGCCTTTTTAATTTTGTTTGGCTTGCCGTTCCAAATCAATTGGAATATTTTTTGCTCATATAATTTAAAAAACAGGTCGCTAGGTGTAGGCAAGACCAAAAGCAAATAGGTACAGTGCCTTGCAAAAGTATTCATCCCCCTTGGCGTTGTTCCTATTTTGTTGCATTATAACCTGTAATTTAAATGGATTTTTATTTGGATTTCATGTAATGGACATACACAAAATAGTCCAAATTGGTGAAGTGAAATGAAAAAAATAACTTGTTTCAAAAAATTCTAAAAGATAAATAACGGAAAACCCCTTTGCTATGAAGCCCCTAAATAAAATCTGGTGCAACCAATTACCTTCAGAAGTCACATAATTAGTTAAATAAAGTCCACCTGTGTGCAATCTAAGTGTCACATGATCTGTCACATGATCTCAGTATATATACACCTATTCTGAAAGGCCCCAGAGTCTGTAACACCACTAAACAAGGGGCACCACCAAGCAAGCGGCACCATGAAGACCAAGGAGCTCTCCAAACAGGTCAGGGACAAAGTTGTGGAGAAGTACAGATCAGGGTTGGGTTATAAAAAAATATCAGAAACTTTGAACATCCCACGGAGCACCATTAAATCCATTATTAAAAAATTGAAAGAATACGGCACCACATCAAAACTGCCATGAGAGGGCCGCCCACCAAAACACACGGACCAGGCAAGGAGGGCATTAATCAGAGAGGCAACAAAGAGACCAAAGATAACCCTGAAGGAGCTGCAAAGCTCCACAGCAGAGATTGGAGTATCTGTCCATAGGACCACTTTAAGCCGTACACTCCACAGAGCTGGGCTTTATGGAAGAGTGGCCAGAAAAAAGCCATTGCTTGAAGACGTTTGGTGTTCGCCAAAAGGCATGTGGGAGACTCCCCAAACATATGGAAGAAGGTACTCTGGTCAGATGAGACTAAAATTAAGCTTTTGGCCATCAAGGAAAACGCTATGTCTGGCGCAAATCCAACACCTCTCATCACCTCGAGAACACCATCCCCAAAGTGAAGCATGTTGGTGGCAGCGTCATGCTGTGGGGAAGTTTTTCCATCGGCAGGGACTGGGAAACTGGTCAGAATTGAAGAAATGATGGATGGTGCTAAATACAGGGAAATTCTTGTGGGAAACCTGTTTCAGTCTTCCAGAGATTTGAGACTGGGACGGAGGTTCACCTTCCAGCAGGACAATGACCCTAAGCATACTGCTAAAGCAACACTCGAGTGGTTTAAGGGGAAACATTTAAATGTCTCGGAATGGCCTAGTCAAAGCCCAGACCTCAATCCAATTGGGAATCTGTGGTATGACTTAAAGATTGCTGTACACCAGCGGAACCCATCCAACTTGAAGGAGCTGGAGCAGTTTTGCTTTGAAGAATGGGTAGAAGTCCCAGTGGCTAGATGTGCCAAGCTTATAGGGACATACCCCAAGAGACTTGCAGCTGTAATTGCTGCAAAAGGTGGCTCTACAAAGTATTGACGTTGGGGGGGTGAATAGTTATGCATGCTCAAGTTTCTTTTTTTCTTTTTTTTGGTCTTATTTCTTGTTTGTTTCACAATATAAAATATTTTGCATCTTCAAAGTGGTAGGCATGTTGTGTAAATCAAATGATACAAACCCCCAAAAAATCCATTTTAATTCCAGGTTGTAAGGCAACAGAATAGGAAAAATGCGAAGGGGGGTGAATAATTTCGCAAGCCACTGTAAACTGGGAAATGACTAAAGAGTTAATCAGGGTGATTTTTCCACAAAAAGACAGGTATTTTCCTTTCCATGGTAGCAAAATCATATCTATTTTTGCTAACTTTCTATTAAAATGTATTGTAATAAGATCATTTCTTTATTTTGGGATATGTATACCAAGTATGTCCACATCACTGTCAGACCATTTTATTGGTAAACTCCACGGTAGTGTAAAAGTTGTATTTTTTAGAGGTTAGAAAAAGTATCTAGATCCTCAATGAGGCTGTGGAGGGATCCAAATTGTGGATTTAAAAGAAAGCATGAATCATCAGCGTACAATGATACCTTTGTTTTTAAGCCCTTGATTTCTAACCCCTTGATATTATTGTTGGATCTGATTTT